GTAATGCAGCCATTTTTGGTTCCTGCTTGTTTCGAGGGCTTTTTGCTTTCAGTCTTGTCTGCAGTAGGTGAAATGCATGCTCAGTGGGATTCAGGTCAGGTGATTGACTTAGCCAGTCAAAAACATTCCACTTCTTTGCCCTGAAAAACTCCATAGTTGCTTTAGCAATATGTTTGGGGTCATTGTCCTGCTGCAAGGTGAGGTCCAATGAGTTTTGAGGCATTTGGTTTGATCTAAGCACACTTTAGAATTCATCCTGTAGCTGCGGTCAGCAGTCACATCATCAGTAAAGACACGGAACAATATTTAATAATTTAATATTTAATAATTTAGCCATACATGTCTTGTTATTTTATGGCTGTTCCTTTTAATTCCTATTGTTCTGTGTATTTTGTGTTACTGGTTATTAAGCATTCTAGAAAAAATGGCTGCTCGAGCGTACACAAAATGTGATGAAATGTACAAGGTAGAACCATTGGGATGTAACCATACATGCAAGAGATGTACTCCGCAAATCAATTTCTCTGTGTCTTGTGGTGATCTTTTCACCTTATGAAGTTATGAAGTGGTCCATAAGTATAGTTGAAGAATGTTTATTTACCCAATATGCATGGAATAGAGTACTATCAGAAGTAGTAAATAAACCAGAAAATAGCGGAGTATATATTTTTGTTATTACACAGAAATGTAACTGGGGATTATTAATGTAAATTTTTGTCTTAAGGTGAACTGAAAGATGATGAAGGTACAGTTCAAAGAAATCAGACTGAAGGAAGTTTATCAACTGGATCAATACCAATGCAAAAGCAATGTTGTACATCTGAAAGGGATTTGATCAGACTGCTTGCAGAAATTCGATTCATAAATGCAGAGGTAACACTTTCATTCATAGGAGACAGAACTGCAAAATCTGAACTCATGGCAATATTGCTTAAATGTCTTCAAAGTAATTTGCATTTCAAAAATATTTTTATACTGTAAATAAGTTCTACAAGTATGTTTTGTCAGATGAGCTTGATATGTTTTCTAAAAAAAGTAGCCATAGAAATTTACAAAAGTAAATTATAGGAAAATAATTAACTGTAAATGTTATGTTTTCATGTCAGTCTTTATTAGATAAACTTTTGATAGATCTATAACGTGCTTTCCTCCTCATAGTGCTAGGATTTCCTTTGGTCTTTCAAATATGCTGCCACCTCCTTCAATAAAAGATATGCTTTTCACTTGTACTTTAAAATAAATGTAGTGAGTACTTACATTTTAATTTAATTTAATAGCTAAGACTTTTGTTAAAGTCTCCTTTTACAGTTCACTTCACAAATTTCTAGGCGACAGTTCACAAATTAATGTCAGAAGGTGTACAGCTTAATGCCAAGCCTGTTCCACAAGAAGATAGAAGCAAACATCCTGCAGGATACATTAAAAAAAATCCAGAAGAAAATCCAGAATGGCTAATCTACAGGTATGTATTTCTATGAGAATAGTGTGTTGAACCACAAGAAAAATTACAATGTTGCAGTTTACTTTATTGACAATTAACTATAATAGCGTATTGTACTTAACATAAAACTGTTAATATTTTGTGATTGTCATCCAATGTTTCATGGCCTGCAAATATTTGTTTCAGAGACTGGATTCAATACTTGTCACTTTATGCAACAGAAAACTTTTTGCGAGCTGCAGAGATGGGAGCAGAGTTAAATGAGTCTTGGATTGTTTATAATGCTGCTGTTTACATCTGGAACTACAACAGCCACCTTATAAAAGTTGGACGACAAAAGGAGCTTGTTGATACATTTCAGAAATTGATAGATTTGCTTAAACAGACGGGGCACTCTGGGTGAGTATAACCCCTATGATATTTGTGGGTGTTATTTAGAGATTTCAGTTTTTCAGATAATCTTTTGTATTTTAATTGATACCTTTTTTCTTTATTTTTTTTATCATTGTGTGTGTTGCTTCATAGGGAGACCATGCTTCTAGTAATGCTCTGCAATACTGCTGCACAAGGCCTGATTCTTCCATGGATTCCAACATCGGCCAAAACCAGTAATGAGAAACGAGATCTCGAAAAGACTTCTCCCACTGATAAGAGCAAGAAAGGTGCTGTAAAAGGAATTGAAAAGGCAGGCAGTGTGCAGAGCTTTTTATTGGATCCCAGTGGAGTAGTAGATGTAAAAAGAGCATTGGAGGTAAAAAAATATTTCATGCAGTGTGTTGTAAATAGTTAACATTTCGTGGTTCATAATTTTCTATGTTAATGAGATAAATGGATTAGGTACACTGTGCAGCAGAGGTGTATCAAAAGCTGAATGATAATACATACTTATCAAAGAAATATAATGCATTGGCCCTCACTATATGTGAAAAATTGAACAGCACTTTATTTGACCACCTACCTAATTTATTTAAAATGTTCATTATGATTTGATGGTGTTTGCTGTGGATGGTATCTTAATATGTTTATAAGAAAAGCATTTTATGACCAAGATAGACAATTTTATTAGAATGTGTGTGTATCAATTCCCTCACATGCATATGTTTCCATTTAAAATTCATTTTTAAATTCTTTCTTTTATCGTCATTACGTAGATATCTCAATACAGCAGTAATACTAATTGAGAAACATATTGTTAGAAGGGTAACAAGTAAGAGTAGGGTGTTGTATTATGGTTTCTAACACCATATAGATCCAGCAACCATGTCAAGTATCAGAGTAAATCAGATTCCTGGTTAATGATATTCTGATCACTTTTGTTATGATTCACATTTATTTTTGTTTCATTTAAATATTCTTCTTTAAGGACCTTGTAATTGAGTATATTTTCCTCCTTCACTTATTTTTATGGCTTTAGGTTTGTGAATATGCACTGCATTTGACAATTGGCAATGTGCCTGCTAATACGGTGCCCATTGCTGTACGACATCAGATTATTGTTACTTGGGTGAGATTGAAGCAGCTTCTCCAGCAACAAATTGGACTGAAGCTTGACTTTGATGATGAGGTACATATTTTAAACTAAAACTTATTTTTAACTTTTAAAGCTTTTGTTCAATTGCTAAGGTATAATTATTAACCTCTTTTAATTGCAATTGTAATGAATCAATTGAACCAAATGAGATTAATTTTTAGTTATGGCACTGAGAAATATTGTTTTCAAAAACTAAAACATATCAGTAAAAATCTATAACAGACTTTTAATATGTTGTGCAGCCCACTAAGAAAAAATGCATTCTGTTTTATTCCAATAATTGTGTACTTTCAGAGTAAGAATGATCGTCAGAGTGCTATGACAAAAGTGCTCGTTGGACTTGAAATGCATGCATGTAATAACTCCAAGTTAATGGAATTTTCTACTCCTACTCTTTCTGTGGTGAGTGTCCAATATCAGGCATATGTACAGTAGCTATCAAACTAAATCGATTACATGTTCATTGATTTTGAATATTTAACACTAGTTGAATCATATTTGTTACATGAGTTTTATGTTTCTGGAACACAAATAAGCCATTTCATAAGCCATAAACATAAGCACAAAATGTTGGTACCGACTTAAAATTAAACTTAATTTAAAACACACATTTAAATGTAGTACACAATGCATTATTACTCAATTTAATGGATGCCTGCCCAACACTGAAGTGACAGCTTCAAACTGAAAAAAAATAGGAGTTGATTTTTTTTAAGTGAAGATGAAAGGTTTGTGATGTCCACGAGCATTTCTGAAAGGAGGCTTCTTATAAAGAAGTATTTTTATTGTGCTGTTTTAAGGAGACTAAAACAAAACCAAAGAATTTGTGAGATTAATATTTTTCTCTGTACCTTTCCAGTTAGCCAAAATGACCTCAGAGTGCAAATGGACTGATCCAGTTGTTGAACTTCAGGTTTGGCTGCAGCTAACACACTTTGCTCACTTGTGCCGTGATCATGAATTAGTGATGATGTGCTCCCAGCGGGCACTAGAGCTGGAAGCTGCAGCTGTAAAAAAAGTAACTTCTAAAAAGCAAGAAATGTAAGTCGTGGATTACATGATATCTGTATAGTGGGCTCTGTGTATTTGGATGCTCACAGCAATATCTTCGGACTTAGACTTGAGTTAATTAAAAATGTAAAATGTAAACAGTGATGGTTGAACCACTCTCTTACTTTTCTCCCCTGCCATTTATGTCATACCATGTGCCAGAATTCTAATAAACCACATATTTCAATAAGAATACACTATCTCTTATAACTGTACGAAAACAATATTGGATTAACTCCGTGACCCGTAACATGCTATGCTGTCATATGGTTATAATGCCAAAATTAGACAAATTTGAAGATTGCTATATGTGAGTTAATGTAATGTCAGTAAGAAATAATCAATTCTATGACCAGGACTGTATTACTGTCACTCATTACTGTTTACTAACGAGATTTTAGAAAACACCATATTCTGCTTTAGATCACTAATATTTTAAACATTGTAAATTGTGGCGGCTACCAAAGCTAGAGTTTAGTCCATTTGTTATTGTAGTGTGATTAGGTGGCTTCATGACTAAAATTAAAAAGAAAAAACTATAACAATAATATTTTGTGACTTCTTAGCAGAGAATGCATTTTTGTGCTATGTGCGTATGTTTTGTAAAGGTCATTTTCTAAAGATCAAAAAAGGTCATTTTTAACTCTGAGAACAGAAACTTTAAAGACATGTTTAGGCATTCTTTTCAAAATTGTTTTAATTTAACAAGTTAAATGACAAAATGTGTTGGTATTGTATTGTTTATCTGAGGTTGCTTCAAATTTGCCCTCATGTCCTTGTCTATTATTATGTGCAGGATTGTAAATCAGTGCATGAAATAAATATGACATCTAGTGACCATTATGAGCACTGCACTTTCGGATACATGTATAATAATGATGGAAACTCTGATGCATAGATAACAGAAACTCTGAAAGAGAAAATTTGTTTTCATATATTTATTTTGTACATACGTGTACAGTCACAGTCTTGGATTCATACACCTGTCTTTACATTTTTCTTTTTTTAAAGATACAATTCCAAATTAGTCCAGGAGATGTTGAGTAATGCAGCTTGTATTAAGGGACAAAGTATAATGCAACAATCAACAGGACAGCCACATATATGTGACATGGCCTTGGCATCATTTGAATTAAGTGCCTGGTAAGCAACTCCCCAACCAACTTCTATTTTGTATTATGGGGTATTAAACTTTAAGAAGTGAATAGTTTTGGTGAATATTACATAACGTGAGTTGAGATGTTGCACAAAAAACAACGTAATTAATATTTTCTAGATTGCTAATTGAAAGCTTGCAGTTTATTAATCTATAATAAAATAAAATTCAAAATTCTTCACACTCTGAAGTATTTTCTAGTCCTCATTGTTTTTACTTTTCAGTTATGCAGAAAAGGCTGGCAGTCAGTCACTTTGCATGATAGCTGCACGACACTTCTGGAATGCTTGTCTGCCTTTTACACATTCGCCGTCAGGGAGAGAACAGTTAAGAAAACCCATAGAAAAGATTCTAAAAGCCATCTCTCGTACAAGCAAAAAAGAGAAAACGGTAAGGTTTTATCTAGAGGTACAATAAAAAATGTTTTTGTAACCATTTTCTCCAATCCTATTGATACTGTCATAATTTAAAATAGTGTACTTTGTGTATTTAACATTTTTGTGTTTCCTTTCTTAAGGGTGAATTGAGTAAATTTAATGTACCACAAAATACATTATCAGAAGATTCTTCTGTGGTAATTGGATTGGCATTTGAATTTTCAGCTACAAGTGAGTAAAAGTAATATAGAGGTTAATTTTTTTTTTAAATATCCATTATTAAATTACATGCAGTTTACCTAAAACTAGTCAGTCTAAAGCACTAATTGCAAGTTACCCTAAACTAAAAGCTGTATTAGTTTCAGTTACTCTACAGTAAATGAATCTTTGCTTGGTGTTATTTGTCTTGTTTACAGTATGAGCTACATGCCTAGATAAAATTCACCTGGCCTTCTTTTTTTACCCAATATTCTGATGCTTATGTCTTAGAAACAAAATCCTATGAGAACTGAAAATGGGCTAGTCTTTAACTCAAGGGAGTGTTTCCCAAAAAATGTAACTTAAGAATTGAAAAAGTGGGAACTTTAGTGGTAAACTGCTTGAATAATTTAGAGATATCCATCATTACTTTGTCTTATCAAGTCAAGTTATACTGGTTGTATCTATGAAGGTGTGGCTTGGTGAAAGGTTGCCTTTACTATCCATATCACAGCAGTAAAGGACCATAGTATTAAAGTAAGGAAAAAGGCCCCCTGCTAAACATTAGAGATAGCAGAGGGTAGCAGTATTCCATAGTCATAAAGAAGAATTCTGGTAAGTTATAACAATTGTTGTACAAATAATGCATTTCAAATAAGCAATTAAAAATTGGAAACATAATGTATAGAAATTCAATTTACTGTTCTGAACTGGCTGTTTAAGTATTATGACGGCTTGCTATTGAATGAGCTTTTATTTCATCTAAAGAAATTTACATTTTTCACACAGGTGCTCCTGTTTTCTTTCACCTCCCAAAGACATGCTAGCTAGGTTAATTAGTGTCCTTAAATTACACTTGTGTATGTGCAAGCTAAGATGCTTTCAGATGGTTGTCCCATGTAACACTATGTGCTTTCAAGATCAAGCTTTCAAGAGGCATCTCATTGCCTCTTTCCTTACCAGGAATAAGCAGCTTTCTGATAATGGATAATTATATTACCAGTACATTGTGTATGTGTAAATGCATATTAAGGGATTTCAAGAAGTCTCTGGTATCATATTTTTCACATAACATGTATAGGTTCAAGTATATTTATAGATGTGTTATGTATATAAATATACACAGTCTGTTACTACATATGATTTCTTTTGCTTTTATAGAAAATGCTGTACTTGTACAAACCTTTCCCATTGGAACTTTAAACCCCTTTTCAAAAATGAAAAATGTTGCTCTTTATCCTTTAACCATAACGCAGCCATGGTGAAGCATGTCTTACGAAACTTGAACTGCATTTGAACTAGAATTTTTAAGTGTGCAAGAGCAATTTCAAATTGATAAGGGATCGCACATTAAGGTGAAACCATATGTTATTTTAGTTTTTTTAATGTTGTTTTTCAGGTTTAGGAAATCCAGAGGATGATCTTACTCTGAGAGCTGCTTTATATGGACTTTTATTCCATATTCAGGCTGACAGGAATGACTGGGAATCTGGGCTTCAAGTTCTTGATGAAGCAATTAGGGAGATGCCACGAACAAAACATAGACTGTGAGTATGTTAGTAGATGCCTCTGCAAAATGAACAATCAATATTTTGCCTGTAATACTCCACAAATATGCTCTTTCTTTACGTTTCTTACATTTTGTTTCTCCTGTACACTCATTCTCAATCTGTGATGCTTTTTAAATAAAGTGTCGGATTTTAGGATGAATGTATGAATAAGTAATAAGTAAGAAATTGATGGGATTACATTGTCTTCTTGTAACTTGTTGGTTTTTGTCTTGTTTTCTAGCCTCATTTTCAAACACCGTGTTACTGTAAAGGCAAGACTTGGGCAGAGTACACTAATGGATATTCAGAAATTCAAAGACGAGAACGAAGATTATGTTTCCTACATGTGGCACCGTGTTGCTTTGTGCTCTAAAGAAACTACTGAACAACTGATATGTTTTCAGAATGCAATTTCATCACTGCAGGTTTCTGTTTTATTAATATTGTTTTAAGAAATTAGAAAAACAATTAGATATATTGTAAAATTGCACATTAACCCTGATCAGCTTTTTTTTTAAATTAAATTAGTATACACTTATTTGACAAATCTGTCAAGTTAATGCATTAGAAGCTCTTGCCTGCTTCAATTCAAAGCATAGATTTCTTTACTGTTCATTGAGATATCGTTATTTTTAATGTGTGCTACCATTCTAGTTTATAGATATTATACATAAAACATTGATGCTCACATAATGTCAATAGAGAGGTATATATTTTTTAATCTTCCAGAATTTCACAATCAATAAAGGCATATATCAATAAGTACAGTTTGAGTGTTAGAGACCACATATGACTGGTTCAAATGTGGGTCATGTTACATTCAAGTAATGGCATCACTCTTTAACTGAGTGCCCCAGGTTTATGTGGGCTTTACTGAACCAGGCTCTCTTTGGTTTTCTGAGCAGCACTCTCTGTGTAATCTGACAGATCCTTCACTGCTCCCGTCACTAATGAGGGATTTACATTGTGAAAAACAGTATAGCTTGACTGTGCATATTCTTTTTATGAAGGCCCTATCCTGGTACAAGGATTGTAGTGCTGACCCAGTTAAATTTACAGTTGGCCATTCCAAATTACAGAGTTTAAAAGGAAAAATAAATCTAGATTTTATTGATTTCAGAGTGTAAGAGTGGTTGGTGAAAAAGTGGCTTAAAAGAAAAATTGATTGATAAGAGAAAGGTTGATAAATAACACATTGAATTAGTACACTGTCATCGGAAAAAAATAGTACAAATCATCTACTGAAAACATGACTGAAAGGTTCTGCTAGTACATTAATTCAGCTCTACAGACTATTTTTTTCTCAACTCTTCCCAGTGAAGGAAAAGTATAACAATTAATTTCCCTATTATGTATTTTCTCAAATATAACCATTTCAAATGCTTCTTTTTAAATTTGGAGCACTCATCAATTAATTTTTACTGAAGGTGCCCAATTTGGAATTGCCCATTTTGTCTTTACATTTCAGCTTTACCTAAGCTCAAAGTCAATGCCTTTATCAGTTGAGCCAGGATGAGGCTATTATAATCATTCTTACTATAGACAGAATGAGAAGTGACCGTTCTAAACTACAATGTGCATGAGAATATGTAATTTTTATATACTACAGATTCGCTTTCATTCAATGAAAATTTGTATTAAATTCTCATGACTCATGGTAGGTATTCACTCCTCTGTTTTGTAGAATCATTAGTGCTGCTTGTCAGGGTGCTATCTGTCATCTAGTATTGGGCCTTTCTTTTTCTGATCAATGCTTATACTCATGATGTTCCTTCAAGTATCTTACGCTGCTCAAGAGAAATTTAAATTTTCTAAAACATCTGTTTAGTAATGCTTGAACTACTTTATATTAATCTTTTAATCCACATAGGGAAACTAAAGCTTTATTAAAATATTGTGGAGAGAATCAGATATGATAGTCATTATTATTCATTATAGTGCCTGTACATTTTGGCTGTTATATAGTTATTCCCATAACCTCCACTTATTGAGGTTATGTACCGTACCATCTCACTCATGATACATCTTGTGACATTCCAATAAGCCCCACAAATATATTTTTTTTTTTAAAGTGTGGTATATGTATTGATATATTGGGCAATCCTTTACATTTTGATTTGATACTCTACCACTACATTAAAATTTTCCAATAAATGAAATCTTGAATAGTTATTTTGTAAAATTGCTATATGTGTGTGTGTGGGAAAAAAAATATTTGGTAGAGTTAACTGCATATTAGAATGTGAGTGAATTACACTTAAGTACATTAATAGAATGTTTATTTTTCACACCTTTTTTAAAAATATTTTAACCTTTTTATAGCTGTCACTTTGATTCACTTCACAAAATTGAATGATTGTTTTCACAGCAACCAGAAAATGACTGGCAAAAAGTGGAATACCTGATTGAATTTGGGGAGTGGCTCTACTGCAGTCAGTTCCCAATCTCTGATGCTCTTCTGCAGATTGACTGGGCTATTGATGTTCTCCTGCACATGGAATTTGAAGACATGAAACAATATGGTAAAAACATTATTTATCACAGCACCATAAATACTGTAAAAAACATGAGTTAAAAATTAAGTATGGGTCTATATTTAAAAAAATTGCTTATTAGGCATTCCTTTTGTTTCAGTATTCCAGTTGTTTGTAAATGTCATAGTATATATTGTTGAAGATGTTAAGTCATTCTCCCAGTATCGTAATGCATTTTTTTAAAGTCCTTTTTATTTTCTTAGAAATTGAAGAAAAACAGATCTCTAGGTCAGTTGGCATGCACACAGCAGAGAAAGAGAAGACTGAAACTCATGAGCAACCAAAAGCTTCTAAAATGGGTACTGTGAGGTTGCTTTTTTACCTTCCTGCCCAACACATTATTGAAAACTAAACTTTTTGAGTGCTTCTTCCTAAATTCTTAAATATCATTTGCTTTTTTTAAGTTAATGATTTTACATATATATAGTTAAATTGTAGTTTAGTAATCCCTATGTAATTCTGTTTTTTCCTTCTTTACAGAAGAAAAGGCTAACATGAACAATCAAGTATCTGTGAGATGTCAGTCAGAGATCGGTGTGAAAACTGCAAATTCCAATCTGTATGTTGCTGAACTAAAAAATGTGAAACAGCTTGAGGCTCTATTTAGAGCTCATACATTAATGGCAATCATTGGAGGTTGTGCTTCGCCTCAACACCAACAACATTGTCTTATGGCTTATACTTACATATTGCGCATCTGGCAGGTAATGATCTGTAGTTCAAAATTATATTTAATTTTAAATGAAATTTAAAAATTTCAAGGTGAATAACAATCAAAATAACTCCAAACTAGTGTCTGACAGTGACATGACTATAATGTGTTTTCTTTTTAACTAACTGTGCTATAACTTTACAACAGGTATCTTTAGCAACTGCTGGTGCACTTATTAAGGATTCACTGAAGAATTCATCTATCCCTCCTTCTCAGCCTACACCAGTTGCAACACCAAAGAAAGACAAAGGAAAAAAATCTAAAGAGGTAATAAACATGAAGGCTTGCATTTATGCGCCTAAGTGTATAATATTGGAAACTCAAAACATCAGAATGTTTTTAGCCAAAATATATGGATTACATTTTGTTGTAAATTTGTAATAATCCAAGATTAACAAAGTTTGCAGTGAAATGCTTATAAGTACCAGCTTCAAAATTTAAATATTTTGTTGGATCAGTACAGTATTGTAGTAGCTCCAGCTATAACTGTTAATACTTTATATTTAGGTATTAATACTGCGTACTTGACGTAGAAATATACAAGAAGGCTCTTCCTAGTAGTGTAGTAGAAAGCACCCTCTTAGCATTTTCTTAGTGAAGTGACAAATATGATTATTTTTATATACAGCCACCACTGCCTCCTCCTGTCGTTCAAGAAAAAATTAAGCGAAAGGGACCCCTGGAAAATTTGCCTCCTAACCCTGAAGAATGGGCTGGCTATGACTGTCCTGAGGAAGTCAGACAGGCTTTCAAGCAGGATACAAGTTTGTGTTC